CAGTTTTTTTGTGCCCTTGATTTGCGTAGGAGTACAACTCCGTCGTCACTATATAGACAAGTGTTTTAATATACAAAATAAACCTAAAACGCCAAAGCAACAGTATTCCCATTAGCTCGCAAGCTTCCGCTGAATCGAAAGAACTCATAGTAATACTAAAGTCAGGATTTCTACGGTTGGTCCACAGAGAGCTTTCACTTAACAGAATGGATTTCTGGGCCAGTTTAATGATGCCAATGTCTTGTTTGCTTAAGGGGCAGTAAATGTTGGCCAGCTTTATTGCATCCATTAGCAACTTCTTGGTGATGGATGGGTAGAAATTGCAAATATCAAATTGGAGGAAAGAGCATTCACTTTTCATATTTATTTTATTGAACCAATCAATGGGGTAAGCAGTATTATGCTACTGGTTGACTCTTAAAGCATTTCTTGTATATTTTCGAGGATTTTCTTGCTTATCTTACCGATGTTATTCATGGATGTGTTAGTTAACCAGTATTGAGAGATGTGTAGGAAGTTATCTTTGTGGTGTTTTTTTTTTTTACAGAGAAGAAAGCTTGTTGCGTGTGCAATTTGTACACTCTATCGTCGATTTTTAGTTCTCTGGTTGTCTTCACAATTTATTTTTATTTTAATTTTGTGTTGACGCCGGTTTTGCAAAATTACTTGAAGTGCCTATAATTAATGTGCGTAGATATATTAGTATTATAAAATAAATGAATCGCGTTCTTTTTGTGCGACCTGACACATGACGTCACGCTAGACCATATCAAACGTCCAGATTACCAAAGAATATCAAGATGTAGACAATGGAATTCTAATTACCACACTGACACCACATCGGTTCTTGATAATGACTGCGAAAATCGAAATTACTTGAACAAAAATAACAAAATATGAACTTTGAACAGTTTATCCACAACTTTGAGGACACTACTCAACACCTTATTGGAAAAATGGAAACATATTATAAAAAATTAAACAGACAGACTTTGTCGGGTTTTTTTTATCAAACTTGTGTAAATGAATACTTGCTATTTAAATATACCATATATATATATATATATATATATATATATATATATATATATATATATATATATATATATATATGCGCGTGTGTGAGTGTGTGTGTGTCTGTGTATGGTGGCGAAAATGTCTGAACCCATCGGCGGTTCATAATACTATTTAGGTTTAGTAGAAAATGAAATTTAATTAACCATACACGAAAGACTAAATTACCTTTTGGTATCAATGTTCTCTTTTCCTGTTCAGTCAGTTTTCGAATTGGCGTTCATCTACTCCGAAAGTATTTCCTACTCGTTTTGCACAAGACATTCGCACATTTTGTGGGTAGAGTTCTTAAAACCATCTGCGACTGACATGAGACGGTGTTGTCATTTGCGTGCAAAAGACGAACACTAGTTTCTCTTCGACTCGCAAATTATCTGCCATAGTACGACAATTTGGGGGAAAAAAAAGAAACATTAAATATTTTTTCTATATTAAATTACGGACTGCTGAGCCAATTTGTACATGATAGAAGACTACTCCTTTCAGTTTACAGAGGCAGATTTGTAATTGTTCGATACCCACAGAGTCAGACTGCAACAATGTTGAGCAGATCTTAGGTACAGTATCTGGGAGAGAACGAATCATTTGGCCTGACTGAGTTTGACTGATGCCATTTCAATCAAACGCACGGTCACGACGACTAGTGACTTCGCGTTAGCACAACCATCGATGGAAATGTTCTATTTAACCAATTTCACTCACAAGGATTATCCCAACCCGTGGCATAGTTTTCATGCACTTTCCAAAAGTTTCGCACGCCGATCTAATCTTCAGATGGCTAACCATATTCTTGACAAACCGATAATGGTGAGGTTTGAACTCAGGTCTCATGGTCATGAAGCGAATCTTTAAACCACACACACACACACACACACACACACACACACACACACACACACACATATATATATATATATATATAGATATAGATAGATAGATAGATAGATAGATACATGATAAAATAAAGTTTTAAGGTATGCAATATTTATGGGTTAAAGTGCTCAATATCAGGGATAGAGCGTATGTAAATATAAAAGTGGACATTGAAGTCAACACCCAGATACGACAATCTGTTTCCGTTTAGCATGAAACAGATTGTCGCCTCTGGGTGTTGACTTCAGTGTCCACTTTCTCTCTCTCTCTCTCTATATATATATATATATATATATATATGTATGTATGGAGTGTATCAAAAATATCTTTTACAAACTTTTGGAGGGTTTTTTTTGGGGAAGAACTGATACCAGAGAAATAGTAACAGGTGTGTGTATAGAATTTTCCAAACATCTCTTCTCAGGTTTTTAATTCAGAATTATCTGCCCTCTAGACTGGTTACCAATCAGGGCTAGAAGGACATGTTTACACCCTTATACAACACCTAACTGATGATAGAGAGATGGATACACATCTTTATCAAGGATATTTGTGTCAAACTGAATGTAACGAACTCAATTGGAATTCAAACTCCGTATTCGGATTTCACTTTCCGACCCATTATCCTACTCGTTAACCGCTACACTACTCGCATATACAGTCCCCTTCCAAAAGCAGTGGAACGGCAAGGCCAATTCTTTTGTTTTTGTTGTTCACTGAAGACATTTGGATTTAAGATTAAAATATGACTGTTAAACAAGTGATCAGAATCTTAGCTTTTATTTCTCGCTATTTACATTTAGACGTGGTAAACAACTTAAGAAATACCACCATAGACTATTTTGCTAATTTAGTACTGCAGTTAAATTTATAAAGTCTAGCTATCATAGCTAAGAGCTCATCCGAACAATGACCATGAAATTATTTATAAAAAAGGCAAAGGGAACCAACTTTACGGCGCTGGGAAAGTGACTGAAGCCGAGATGCCAGGTCAGGACCAATAGCATTGCTGATTCTTCCTTGGATTTTATCAAGAATCTCTAAATATATACTAGGAGCACCGGACCATATATGGCTGCAATGTTCAAAGCATGGATGAATGGTGGACCCTTAGATGTTTAAGATAGATTCCGGAGAGAAAATTGTCTAACACGACACAGTGAACCAATTTTCTTAGCAGCTGACTTATTAATGGATTTATGATCATCGTTCCACTTCATGTCAGCTGAGAATTCTAGCCCATGAAGTCGCAACACGTCACTCTCCCGGAGGTTAGCAGCAGCCATGATGATTAATAGAGAGTAGTTTTTAATTTTTAATTTAGAAGTGACTTTCCGGAAATCAGTGTTTCAGCATGGCCAGTTAAATAAACAGTATTCAATTTGAATACAACTCAATGGAAGTGTCATGTCCACTAAAATACCAAATACATTATTTATAAACCAATCACCCTCAAGAAAATACTTACATCTTAAAACACATCAATAAAATCATAGAATACAAATCAGAATGTTTGTTGCATTAGTCATCTTGATTTAGGTAGATATCGCCCAAGTATCGTGCAGACGTAGTAGAAGACACATCACGTGGATTTTTAGAACCAATTAGGAAGAAATAAATAATTTAATTCTGGAGCCGATCTTGTAACGAAAACGTGTATAAAAACAAACGAAATCCAGTCCCACACAGGATACGCACAGCTGTCACCAAACTCCACGCAACTCTTGCTTACGACCTCATGCTAAAAGCGACAGCGTTGACAAACTTCAGACTACGGCAACAACGCCAACAGTAAGAAACAATTTCTAACTCTCTTGTATCCTCTTTACTATGAACCATGCACACACGTTTTTACTTTTTCATTCAAACACACATATAAAAATATTTCATTGTTTCTCACATACGTACACAAAGACAATTTATATTTTATTTCAGAACTTTATCAAGCCAAACAAAAATACATTACTTTCTAATCTATGATCAACTGCTTCTATTCTTGTCGTTATATTAAATTAATGTTTATTTGTTGAAACTAGGTTGTCATTTCTACTGAATTTTATTCTTTCAATGAAAATCGTGTGATTATTCTAAACGGCCGAATTACGAGCAACCCCGCGACAGTATTTTGTCATTATATCGAATCGCGACACTCGGAATTTTAACATTCAACGGAAAACCGAATACAAGTATCTCTACAGTAGTATAGCAAATATATTTCCTTATATTGAAATATATATAGAATATATATGGAAATATATTTCCTTATATGGTTGCATAAGTACCAAATTTATTTTCGGTTATTCAGTCCGTCGGATTGTATGGGGATTTTCTAAGCGAAGTTTAGATGTAGCACAAAGCCGAAACTATGGTGCACCCAGTGAGGGTCGAACTCACTATTCAGTCGTAATTGATCTAGAGAGACAAGCTTGCTAACTATTACAGTACGTCGAGTAACAAAACATAATCTTCTTAGCTTAGATGGGGAACATGACCGAAAGTATGGGGAACCCAGTGAGGATCGAACTCACTATTCAGTCGTAATTGATCTAGAGATACAAGCTTGCTAACGCAACACGTGGAAGAGCCCTCACGGACGGATTGTATGTGGCAATTTCACACACTCTGCAGGATTTCAAATTTATTCTTTAGTTTTAGCAAAGATCGCAACCCGAGGAAATGACATTTTGTAGCTGTGGATATTACCTATATAATAAGATATGATGTTTTCATAGTTTCTACTTAGAAAATGAAACAGATGATACCGCGAGACAATTGCTAATGATTAATTTGTCATTTTTACAGTTTATCAATCTTATGAGGTTTATTTAAAGCCAGAAAATATTTTTCGATTTTAAGATTTTTTGAGATAATAAGGATTTACAGTAAAAGTTCTACTAATTAACCCATAGCTGAGGGGAGAAGTGTTGGATTCACACCTTTTCCAAGGGTATTTGAAGCAAATAAAATAATATAACAAACCTGACTGGAATTGAAACTCAGCTTTCAGATATCCAGTTGCGAGACGTATCGATTGCACTACACGCATCTACAAGATTACAGCACCTGGTATTCCCAAGCAGTCACCCATCTATGTACTGATCAGGCTCGGTGTTGCTTAACTTCAGTGATCGTACGAAAATTGGATTTTTCAACGTGATATAGCTGTAAGCCATAATTAATAATGAACGCCCGCTTTGTTGACAGCTTATCAAAGGCGCCCTAAATACTTCTGCTATTCCATAATCTAATCTCATTTTATGGTGTAGCGTTACTTACTCTATTATGAAGTAATAAAATACAATATCATATAATGGATTTTAAAACATCATGGTGTATGATATTCTTACGTTCAGTTCAAGGTTTTCTTATGAGGTCAACCGTTGAGTGCTTGGGCGGATAAAGAATGCTCTTGTCAGCACGAATTACTTTCGTCAGGAAAAGGAAAAAAATCGGCAAATAATGCTTTACTCTTTTTCTTGCTTGGCTTGACGTCGGCCAATACAATTCCGTCCGAGTAGCTAAAAAAAAGCGGAGGGTAGAGGGAATTGTTTCGGTCAATAGAGACACTCGTCGCTCCGTTCCTCGACCAATCGATCTTATTGATCAATATTGAACCACATACTGGTTTTGATTTTATACCATTACTATCACTTATTCTCTGTCACTATATAGTCTCAAATATAAGACGAGAGAGTTGTATGTGTATCTGATCGTATCAACCAGGCTTGGCAATGTGCCATCCTTATTGGACTGTTTTGATGGCTCTTACAAAAGGGTATCGTCATATTCATTGATACGTGAAGTATACAAAAATACAGATAGATCTAGCTATCTATCTCAGTTTGTTTAGTATGTATGTATGTATCTATCTATCTATCTATCTGCCTGTTTAGTATCTATCTATCTATCTATCTATCTATCTATCTATCTCTCTATCTATCTATCTATCTATCTATCTATCAATCTCAATCTGTTTGGTATCTGTCTATCTATCTATCTATCTATCTGCTTGTTTAGTATCTATCTATCTATCTATCTATCTATCTATCTATCTATCTATCTATCTATCTATCTATCTCAATCTGTTTAGTATCTATCTATCTATCTATCTATCTATCTATCTATCTATCTATCTATCTATCTATCTATCTATCTCAGTATGTTCATATCTATCTATTTATCTATCTGAAATAACATTTTCGGTTTAATTTCCCATTATCATCACTGTTTTATGATTAGCGATTTTCTAAATGGGTGACTATTTTTCTCTCAGGATTTATTGTCCCTTTTATAGATCTTAGAACGAATGTAGCAGCGCGCCGAAAACTTCAATTATTCTATTCCTTGTATTTATCAGATTACTCATCTTTTAAATTTCTATAGTTTTTTGCATATATTAATTGCAATTTTAGCCCAATATTTCCCTTTAACATTATTATTATTATTATTATTATTCTCTTTTCTACAAATGGAGTTTACTGTTTTATTTTTAAGAACCGGAATAATCTAATGAATAAAAGGATGGAAATTACTGATAAATGTCGGCACATCGATGCATTTCTTAAAAAGACAAACATGAAAATGAATAAATATCTAGAACGAGATTAACATTTCAACCAGGAGAAAGGCGTAGTATGTGTTCTCTTCTAGTCTTTTATAAATTATGAAGAAGCTTTGTCCCCAGGAGTTCAAAGGTGCGGTTATACCTTCATTGCACCAATGAGGGAATTTTGATAGATACTGACGCCAGTATGATATTGTTCGCTGTGACTAGGCAATGTTTGGTCATTGTCCCATACATATGCGTATGGAGACCCCACATTAAACCAAAATTGTATCTCATCCTATCACCGAGAGGAAGTGGGTAATTATTAAAAATGGCTAAGCGTGAAACAACGATGTAAATGGGAAAATAAGTGACAGGACCCAAAGAGTGTGAGTTCAATACCCGGTTAAGGCAATGGAGAACTTGGAGAAGGGAATTAAATGGAGATAACTGACATCCATTAAACATGGAACGTGGTACTAGAACTACCCCAGTGAGCGAAATAAAGGCTTCAGTTCGACATTCCAACCACCTGAAGAAGGCCGGAGCGTACAAGGGCCGAAACGTTGTAATAAATATGGCGACAAAGATGAGGACAATAGTCCGAATAATGTAAATAGAATACTATTTTTATGTTTAAAATCTCTGTTAAACGATTTATGTGTTCAAAAACTCTGTTAAACGAATTCAAAATAGAGCACTCTTATATGCGTAAAAAAAAAAAGCGAAAATGATCATTGAAGTTAAGCAACGTCGAGCCTGATTAGTATCTACATAGGTGACCGCTTGGGAAATCCAGGTGCTGTAAGCTTGGATATAATGGATAATGACTCGCAATTGTTAATCGGAGAAACCAGTTCCAGTTCCAGTCGGGTTCGTTATATTCACTTAAACGAAAATAGCCTTGGAAAAGCTATGATCATCTTATCCACCCAGTTATGGGTTAATTAGTAACACTTGTATCGTTCAATCATTATTATCTCCCTAAAAAAATTCTTATAAACTAAAATTTATTTTCTGCCTTTATATATCCGACGAAAGGTTGATAAACCGTAAAAAACGAATGAATCGAATTTAAATATAAAGTAATACATATACATATATATGTGTATATTTGTGTGTGTGTGTTTATTTACGAATATGTGAACATTTTCAGAGACAAACCTCTTGTTGTGGTAGGATCCACCTAATTTGCATAGTGGAGTACCGACCATATACATATGGTTGGTACCGGGAATAGAAGGGAGGAATCAAGAAATTCAATCCAGAGACTCTGCTCGACTGCGACTAAGTCAACACATTCTCCAGGAACGGTCTTCCCAGGAACATACAAAAGACTATATATAAATATTGTGTACACTTTCTTGTTTCAATACATTTTGTTCTAAGTACATTTTGTGTTGCATTATTATTCCATGCATTAGTCAAGTTTCAACACTTCTATACAAAAAAATAATGGTAAGTTCACTGTACTCTTCCCCTAGAGTAACAATCTGATATCTTTTATTCTTCACCTTTACAAGAGCCAGATAAGGCAGAAAAAAGAGTACTGTTACAATATATGGGTTGGAGCTGCACAGTCTTCATTTTCCAGTTTTGATAGAGTCCAAACCGTCTCCGCCACCGTGTGAAGGATAAATTATTTTGTTATTATTATTTATTATGGAACTCCTTTCCCACCGACGAAACATCACAAAGGTCTCCTTGTTCTGTCGCTATTCCTTAGTTCCCCCAGTCCTAACTTTCACGACTAAGAGCCACCATGCCACGCACATTGTTACGAACCACCTTCATTACCTTCGTATTCCATTGGTGAGATGTAAATTTCACCCAAGCATTCATCTTTACACTGCTTTGTGGAACCGACTCCCGAGAGGCTTCCCCGATCACTATAATTTTAATCTGTTCAATCTAAGGTTAACTTTTCCTCATATCCCCATAAACTGTGCATATTATTCTCTAACTCTCTACCTCGAAAGGCTCTTGGGACTTGTACAGGGCGAACATTATAGCGAAAAAAATAATACTTCAAAAACCTTCAATAAAAATCTCTGATACAAGTGGGATAATATTTTACATTAGCATCTACGTTGGCGTACATACCTAGCGTACATTCAAGGAACAAGATGTCTTTGTTTGAATAAAGGCATAAATCTTGCAGAGAAAGCTCAACAATTTCTATGTATAATCAGTCGACCAAAGAAAGAAGACATGTAAAATGGATAGACCCAAACAATATTAATCATAGTTAAATATTCGTCCGTGCATTGAATACTGTTGCCAAATCTGGCCAGGTGATCCTGCTACTCTTCTCAAGGTTCTTGACAACATCCCAAGATGATGTACAATGTAATCGATCCTGACTTGATATATTTCTTGACGACGTAACGTGGCTCCCTTCTGTCTTTTCTACAAATATTTTCATGGCTGCTACTCTTTTTTTCAAACCCTGGTGTTCGGACTACTTGTGTTTAAGGGTGGTGCTAGATTGGCACCAAGGTCCCACCATTTCACTGTTGAATTCGGTAGATGTAACCGCCACTTCTATTTCAACAGTTTATTTTCTCGCACTTCTCGCCTATGGAACTTCCTTCCATTCATTTGCTTTCCTTATAACTATAATCATTAAAAATTTAAATGCAACGTCAATAGCCATCATCTATCTTCTGGAACCGCGTTCAGCTTTTATCCTTTCCTCGGTTTCTCCTATACCCAGTCTCCCTCTCTGTAAGCCATGCGTACTAGTGAAATTCGCGCCTTGCTTGGGTTGAAATGATTTATATATATATATTATATATATAACTACTCTTCTATAAATATTTTCATAGTAATTGTTCTGATGATCCTTCCACTAAGGTACCTAAACTTTAGCAATTTAAGCGCAGTACTAGATTGGCGGTAAGGTCTCATCATTTTACAGTTGAAATGGCGAGATGTAAGCGTAAATTCTATGCTAACCGTGTATTCTATGGAACCCACGAGACTCTTTTCCGGTTTCTTGTTTTTCAGTCAAGTTTGATCTTCAAAAATTTAAATACAATGTTCATCGTTATCTCCTGTCTTCTTAATTCCGGTTCTTTCAAGATCTTTTCACCTTAATAGTAGTTTTTGTCATAATCTGTAACACTCAATAACCCCTTGCATCCTAGTGGCTTTATTGCCTTTCTATAGTGAAATGATTTAAAAAAAAGTTAAATGTTATATCAAATCTGATTCCAAGACCTGAAAATTGTCATATTGCCAACTGCCGGGAGTTAATCCAAAGCTTCTTCATCGTCCTCTTTATTAAGAAGTAAGCATCTGCAGTGATGACTATATTTTGACAGTCTTGACAGAGTTCAAAAGTCTTTACTCCAGTTTTTGGCTGTTAATTTATTTCCCACTCTACAACTCATTTCTCACTAACGAAATGACGTACAATCAAATGTTAAATAGGACAAGGATATTAATTTTAATGCCTCCACAATGAAACTGTTCTCTTTTAATCAACCCTTTTTACCTTCGATCACCATATCTGATGCCAACCTTCAGGATAGTGACACTATGCACTTTCTCGAACTAAAGGTTTCTGCTTACATGAAGCGGAAATGCTATATTGAATCAAGTGCTAAGTCTGCAATT